AGGTTTGGGTGAGACCTTCTTTCACTGCAGCAAAGAGGCAGAGACGACCCTGGCAGAGCGGATCAGGGCTCTAACACTTTTCTCCAGGGAAACCTTCCCTTGGCAAAGCAAAGTTGTTATACTTCACTCTCCCGGGGACTGGAGCCGAACTGTAACAACTTCAACAACCTCACAGGGAAACCGTCTCCTTCCCAAGCAGAGCTGATACACTGGGGAAGCCTTTCCCTGAAGCAGGCTGTAAGCTGCTATACTTACTGTGACCTGTGTTATGCCTTGGATCCTAAGTACCAGAATACCTTTCCATCCAAGCTGTAACAGGATTCTTTGGCTCTCGAATGCTAGAATCCCTGTCCTTCCCATCCGAGCCATCAAAATGCTTTACACACCTACATGCAGCTTACTTGTTTATCAAGACCACTTAAGTAAGAATTTGACAGGATATCCCCCGTGGCTTTAAAAAATAAAGTTCCCTCATTCAAAGACTAAAGTAGCACCCCCACTTCCATTGTCCTTTTCCAAAACAGAGTAGAAAGCCATCTAAAAAGACTTATTTTTATTTATTTATTTATTTATTTATTCATTCATTCATTCATTCATTCATTTGGAACAGGGAACTGGCATACCATGGCATGTATGTGGCAGTCAAGGGACAACATTCAGGATATGGTTCTCTCCTTGCACCATGAGTGTTTTGGGATCACACTCAGGTCATCAGACTGTCGCTAAGGGTCTTTAGCCTCTGGGCTATCTCATATCTCTTTGCAACCTACATTTCTTAGGGTATTGGTGATTCTCCTTCATATGAGTCTTCAACTGGTAGAAAGATTATGAAGTCTTAGTGGCTATCACATGAAGACATGATTTGATACTAACAATGTGTCTGAAAATGATGCATCTTTTTCAAAAACAATTTTTTTTTTCTGAATCTAAATGTCAGTCTTATAAATCATCTCCTGAAGAGCATTCCGAACCTGAACATTTGTCTCGTTTTCTCTCTTACACTGACCCTGCTAGGCCATCTTCATTCTTACTCTTTTGCTCTGAAATAGCTGAGCCTTTCAGGTCAAGTAACTTGTTGCAATGGCAAGGATACAATCGCTGATTCAGAGTATGGCTCAAGGGGCCACAGATGCCTGCCTATTCCCACAGCACCATCCTCTGCTGGCATGTTGCCCTCTGGCCACACCCTACTCTCTCTCTCTCTCAGTGGTCTATCTGGCCCCAAGCACTGTTGGCTGGAACCCCACTCCTTGTAAGAACCTTTCAGCTTTCTTCCTTCTGGCACCTTCAGGAAGCTCACTAAATACCCAACCTTGACCACATCCATCTTCAAGCTAAGATGGAAGCTCTTTCTGTCTCTCATGCTGCTTTCTCCTTTCTTCACAAACATGTACACAGTGATAGGTTTTCTTTAAAAAAAAATATATATATATATATATACACACACACACACACACACACACACATATAGCTCCCTTGATATACTACAAATTTACATGTCTTTGTAGCTGTAGACACACTGAGAAGGAAGTCAAAAATAAAGGGTTCTGGTAGACATATTTGGAGATATAGTATAAGATCGGCATGGTTTGCCCTTTCATCTTGAATTTTATGTCTTCAGTATTCTTCATTGTGACTGAAGCTTAACTGTCATCCTGGGAATAATAAATATTTAAGTGCTTTCTTTGTTGCAAAAGAAAGATTGAGTGTATATTCAATGTAATCATTGTCATTTGTTTTCGGAATTGGCTCTTTTTTGTTCAAATTATATTTTTATAATATATTTTTATGTTTCATTAAAGAAAAATGAAGCATCATTTAAGGTTGTGTATTTGCTCCAGGCTGGTAATAAAGTCATTAATTATCTGAGTAGCTTGTATCAAAAAGGACTCCAATGCCCCCAGCAGCAAAATAAAACCTCTTAAGCTGGGCCCCTTTACCCCACCCCCCAAAACACAAATTTTGGCATGTGACTTTCCCACCCAGTTGGAAAATCTGAACTTGACTTTCCATGTAGACAATTAATAAGGAGAGAAGTGGTAGCAGTGAACACTTACAGAGTTCTTATCATCAGCCCCTATTCTGCTTCCAGGAAACTTTGTACCAGGGCTGGCCAAGAGCCAAATACAATCTGAAACATGGTTAGGTATGGTTTCCTATCTAGAGTTGCTTATTCCGTACCTGAAATCAAAATTTAAATGAGCACAATTTTGTGGCATGCAAATATTGGTAGAAATCCTGCTGTCCATAAATACTGTTTTTAGAGCAGTGTCTCCAGTGGCTTTGGGACCACAGCAGCAGAGACAAGCCACAGCAATGGAAAGCTTAAGGACCACAAACTCCAAAGTTCCCACTATTTGACCTCATCCAGAAATGATTGTCAGCGTCTCCTCTACCCAACAGGTGTGGGCATCACCCCCGTTATCAGATAAAGAAATGGCAGGCCCAAGTAAGTTGAGACTAAGGCCACAGGGTTAACAAATTAAAAAAAAAAAAAAAAAAAAAAAAAAGACTTCACTAGCCAAATATTTTTCATTGCACAGAAAGTAGCAATCTGTGTGTAATTTACATAAACGCCCCTGTCCCCTCTGGGAAACCTTGTGTTTCCTACTCATGAGTCCAGGCAGGCATTCACAATGGTGTTTTACTTGCTGGAGAGCCACCCTCTGGCAGACATTGAACAGCATTTGAACAGATGCTCTTGTCTCCAGTCCTTAAAATGGAAAGAGAAACCACGAGGTCAAGTTTCTTTCTGTGGCTAATGTGACATGCTATCCAAGCATGTCAGTTCAGAGGCCAATAGTTCTACTGTGGGTTTGGGTGAAGGTTGGAGACTACAGAGTCTTTCTTTTGCCTCAAACCTAAGTTCCTGGGATTCATAGAACAAAAACTATGTGCACTCACCACTCTCCACCAGAATGTATTAAAGTTACCTAGCATAGCAGGTCAGCCACACTATACTGACTCCCTTCAGTTATTTACCCAAGATAAAGTAAGCCATTTGTACATGCCAGTTATAGTGCCACACACTGGGCATAGAAAAGTACCAAAGGGGTAGAGTATAGAGAACTTCATCGTTCCAGCAAACTGAGATCTACTTGGGAACTCCTTCATAGCCAGCTAGGAATTTATTTCAGTGGATGACCAAATTGGAAAGCCCTGCCCCTATGGCCTTTGTGGAACCTGCTTGGGCAGACAGAGGACAAGAATTTTACATGGAAAGAATTTATTCTAGGATTCCAACCTATGAGTCCTCACATCAGAAGTGAGGTCTGGCTATCCTTTCTTTTGATCCCTGAGGGGAAACGCCAGAAGATAGAAGACCAAAGAGGGAGCATGTGTGATAGTGCCATTTGCATCAAGCTAAGACACAGCCTAACCCCAGAGAGAGAGACTTGGAGAAGCTGAAATGTCATGTTTCCTAGTGAAATGCAATGGCCCCTTGTGCTTCTTTGAGAAACTATGGGTTAAGTAGAGGAGACTGTACTTTACCCCAATTTATTTCTATAAATGTAAAAAAAAAATGATACTTTTTAAGGCAGGCTAGCCTCTAACTCACTATGTAGACCAGGCTGGCCCAAATTTGCAGTGACCATCATCCTTTGGCCTCTTTAGCTCAGAGAAAAGAGGCATGCATCACCATGGCCTTGAACATTTGAGGGTTTTAGTTGTTGTAGCTGACATTGTTTTGGAAGAAGACACTCTTAATGTGAGGAGGGAGATGAAGCTGATCTGGTACCTTGCAGCACTTACACAGATGTAATCCAGATGAGAAGCAGAAAATGGGAAACTATAAAGCACTTAGAAGAAAGCATAGGAAAGCCTGTCTGTTCCAGAAGCAAAGATGTCCATGCCATACACCACCACCGACACTACACCCTGCACTTCCTTGAATCCATAATCCTCCTCTTCAGCCTCCCTAGTGTTTGGATTAAAGTTATCTACCACCATGCCTATGGGAAAGTCATCTTAAATGAGACCCCAACATAAAAATCTAAACCTGAGGAAAACTAAAATGTTCTTGATAAATAGAACTTCAACATGTAGTATTTTAACAAACTATACAATAATATAGACTAGAATATATATGTTTATAGAGAGAGAGTTGTGTGTTAACAATAAAAATGGAAGCCAGTTTTAAACAGAGTCAAAAGATGTGACAGTGTCCAGAGGAAAACCCAAAGGGCACAAGCAGAGTAGGAAGAGATGTCCAAGCACATTGAAACCAGAGATGCATAACTTAGAACAACTTCTGCACCCATCCTGATAGCAAAGCACACACACACACACACACACGCACACGCACACACACACACACACAGAGAGAGAGAGAGAGGGGGGGGGATACCAAACTCTGCTGAGGCAGGTAAGGATAAAAATGGATTTGGCTATTCAGCACACATCATATAGACAATAATAATAAATAAATTTCAAAATAATAAAATATATGTTCTGTAGAGGCAAAGGAGCTTAATTGCCTTTTGTATCTCCTGGTATGATATCTCAAAGACATAGAAGAATACCTAGGCACAAAATTGTCCTTTAGGAAATATTTTGATCAGTGAATGAACATTTGTTATTGCATTTTGTGAATTCTTGAACAAGTATGTCCTTTTGTTTTCATACAAATTAGACTCACAAGTCCATGTGTATTCTAAGTCCAGGGTGACTTTAAGATGAATTGAAAGCTTATAGAAAGGATTCCTCCGAGTGCTTAATACAAAGCAAGCTTTATTTGAGCCTCCTCCTTATTGAAAGTCCCCTTGCATCTATTCCAAAGACAAAAAGGCAGAGGAAAGAAAGAAGAAAGAGGAGAGTAATTGTTTCTTTTGCATTGGAAATCTGCTATAACTGGCCACACCCCTCACTAATGACTTCACAGTGAGGTGAAGCTTCACAGAAGCCAGGACTCAGATGCCCCCAGATCACCTCTCATGATGGCAGGGTGGCTTTGAAACTATGCCTCATTCAGGGCCTCCAGGGGAATTCTATATCTGGCCTTGCCCGTCACCTCCCTTCCTCCCAGATGAGCACTGACCCACAGCTTAAAGAACTGGTCCTAACCTTTCCCCCACACTCATGATTATTCTGTTCTGTCAACCATCACTCTAGATTTCCTTCAATCAGGCCAGCACCAGACTTTTCACAGGAGGTAGGTGTATTCCTTGTCCTTCGAAAACCACTATTTTTGAAAAATACATCCTGTGAGGCTATACCTTCTGCTGTTCTCTCTTTAATTTGTGAAAATTTCAACTTCTGTTTCCACTATAACCTTCCTTTTTCTAGAATTATGAATCAAATGGGGTAAGATATCATAAAACTGCATAATTTACACAGAATTAATATTTTTGAACAAGAAACACCATCTACTGCTAGGAAAAGATCTGGCATGCTTTTGGCCTTAAACAGAATCAGATATATATATATTCATTCTTAGTTCCTAGTTAAGCAGTTTCTGTGAATATTTTATCTTACTCTACATCATGTTTTTAGAGCATAGGAATCTATCTTTTGTATTATTATCACTTTCGACTCTGACACATTGTAGCAATAAATATTTGTTTAAAAAGCTTTAAAAAAAATACAGAACCTCTGACCTTCTTTTCTCTGTGCACTGTGAAGTCTATCCACTAGGTGGCAGCACATGACTTTAATGACAAGCTTCCACCCTTACTGAAGTCACAGTTGTAAGGAGCATGGGTTCCCACCAGTAATAGACCAGGGGCTTATGATTGTTCTCAATAGTAACTCTTATTCAAGAAACCTGATTACAATTCTGCCCTCAAAAGTAGCACCTGCATTTTAAGCACTGACTGGATTTTTACATGAAATTTACACATTTTGATTTAAACATACCTTTGCATAAAAGGTATACATTCTTGCTCTTTTTTGAAATTAGTTTGTTGAACACTTGCACCTGTTTTTAGATCAGATTTTCAGCACATGCCTGATGCCAGTACTTAAGGAACAAAGGTGGGAGGATTATAGAGAGACGGAGGCCAGTCTAGTCTCCCTAGCAAATCCCTAGCCAGTCAATACTACACAGCAAGACCCTGTCTCAATTAATTATTAAGATAAAATTGATTGCAGCATTCTCTTGGCAATGAGACTGTGTGTCAGGAAGGATCATCATTGGCAAGTTGGATCAAACACTGGACCTCATCCACTTGTAGTGTTGGGACATGTAATCGATATATTTATTGTATCTACACCTTCAGTTGGAGGTTTAAATGCACTTAATGAGCATCTCATGCTGGTCTTTAGCAACTCAAGTAGTTTGAGTGCAGCTGCTGTTCAACACAGAACAGTGTTGAACTTGTATAAGCCAGACTGACATTGATAGTTCCTTGCTTTTAAAATATAGGAGCTCTTTGATTTCTAAAAACATATCATGGGGCTAGAGGGATGATTTGGTGGTTAAGAACCACTGGCCGCTCTTCCAAAGGACCGGGTTTGATTCCCAGCTCCCATATGGTGGCTCGCAACAGTCTGTAACTTTATAACTTCAGTCTCAAGTGACCCAATACTCTCTTCTAGCAATAAGAATGCACATGGTTCACAGGCATACATACAGACAAAATACCCATCCATACAAAACTAAAAACAAAGAAAATAAAAATATACCTAGTTCACATTCTAGTTTAATGTATTCTTTTAATAATTTAATTTGCATTGGTGTTTGCCTGCATGCATGTCTGTGTGAGGGTATGAGATCTTGGAGTTATAGACAGTTGTGAGTTATCATGTGGGTGCTGGGAATTGAATCTGGGTCCTCTGGAAAAGCAGTCAAAGCTCTTAATCACTTAATCTCCAGCCCCTAGTCTAATGTTTCTTGCTCATACTGCAAGCATTGATAATATCTTAATCTCCTCCTTCAGTCTTCACTAAAGTACTGAATATGTTATTTTAATATTTTCCTTATTCTCTTTTCTTTTTCAATTTCCAGTCCATCACACACTAATGTGCAAACTATCAGATTGTTCTTTATGATGAGTAAAGTACTAACAGCTTCAGGGAGACCCTGCCTCCTAGCCTTGTATTAGTTACTTTTCTGTAGCTGTGATAAAACACCATGATCAAGGCATCTTATAGAAGGAAGGGTTTATTTAAGCTTATGGTTCCAGAGGAGTAAGTGTCCATCATGGAAGAGAGGAGCAACAGCAAGCAGCAGGCACGGCAGCAGAGTTCAGAGAACTCACATTGTGAGCCACAAGGACAAAGCAGAGAGAATGAAGTGTGAGTATTTGTGGCCTTAAGCTCTCAAAGTCCATCACAGTGACATACCTCTCCACCAAGGCTGTACTTCCTAAACCTCTCCCCAAACAACACCACCAGCTGGGCCCAAGTGTTCAAATACCCAAAACCATGGGGGGCATTCTCATTCAAACCACTATAGTCTTCATACTGGCAAAGAAGCAAACATACATACAGTGTCCAAAGTAAAAATTCAGGTGGGAGAAATGGCTCAGTGGTTAAGAACACATTCTGGTCCTCCAGTAGAGCCAGCCTCACTTCCTAGCACCTACAACAGCTGACAAGCAGCTTTAACTGCAGTGGGATCCAATGCCTCTGGACTCCATGGCTCCTGAGCACAGGTACACACACACACACGCACACACACACACACATACACACACAGGAGAGAGAGAAAAAGACAGAGACAGAGAGACAGAGACAGAGAGACAGAGAGAGACTTTAAAATAATAAAATTTCTTAAAATGTTTCACGAATTTATAGTCCACTAGAGACATGGTCAGCCTGAAGATGCAGAAAGCAATAGGTTCCCTAAACATTTTCATCTGTGTGGTCAAGGTATCCAGGCCTCTAGTAAAACGCCTATGATCTTCTCAAGGCCTCGTGGCCCCAGCAAAACTGACTGAAAGTTCCCTTTCACACAGCTTACTGTGTTGTGCTTCTGGTGGGCTCTGTTTCCACAGGAGTCTGTATCACTTGCATCTGATGCTTCTGGTGATGCATTTTAAAGTGGAAACAAATACAAGTGCCCAAACAAAATAGAAATATGTTTTTCCTATAGAAAAGAAACCCAGTGGGGCAGTTTAGAGATCTAGACTAATGGTTAAATGCAGAAATGCTTGTATATTAAGCTGATACTTAAAATATGGATGTACATTTGTTGCTGACATGGGAATGTCCTAGGATATCATTTCAAGCAGAAAAAAAAATAGAATTGCATATGTAAATCATTAATTCAAAAACGTTCTTTTTAACATTAACAGTAGTTATCTAAGCACTGGGATTAGTAATGGGCAATTTTACTCTCCACTTTCCCATGTGCTTTGCATGTTTTACAATGAGCATACACTATTTACATGATTATTATGCAAAGAAAAAAAACGTTGGGGGCTTGGGAGAAACTCAGCAGATGGAGCCACCACTACAAAAGCCTGAGTTTAGATTCCCAGAATGCATGAAAGCCAGGTAGATATGAGGACTACTTTGTAATACCAGGGGACTGGCAGGAAGGGCAAAGACAGGAGACACCCCACATGGAGCTGCCTAGCCAAGCTAGGTGAATCAGGGAGCTCAGGGTTGAGCAAGACACCCTGACTCAATAAGTAAGGTAGAGAGAATCAAGGAAGACACCAGACACCAACCTCAGGCTTCTGTGTACACCTACATACACAGACGCCCTCAAACATAGGCATTCCAAACAAATAAAAAAGACCCTGAGAAACCATCTTCAATAATTCAAAAGCAGGCCGAGCTGGTAAAACTTACAATCTGTACATTAGACTTCAACCCTTGGGTTTTCTAAGTTGCCCAGTGACACCGTCTGCATAGCAACAGTAAAATGAAGTGCACTGAGCGAAACAGTAATGAGGATAGTGGTTCCTTTTGGTTTTTAAGCCCAGTCAATTTGAGTTGTGCATCAAGCTCTGTTTTCTGGGAATTTTTAATGTTACACCTATAAGAGACAGAGCAGCCTCACCCAAGGCCTCCTGCATGCTGTGCACACACAGATATCCGGATTGCAATCATTGATTAGCTCCAGTAGTCCTTGCCCCCTTTTCATTCTGTCTGGTGGAATCACACATTAGACTTTTCTGTTGGGAGATAGAAGGATAGTAAGACCTTGGTCTCATTGCTTTTCTCTTTAAAATGGACAGAACAATGACTTCTTTACAGTATCAAAGGACACGGAAAGGAAAATGAAATCGCTGATAGGGGCCGTGTTGCCAGATTGAAAGCAACACGAGGAACACCGGGACACAGACTTAGCTCCAAATCACAAGCCTATGCAGCTGGTGTGTGTTTCATAGGCAGATGCTGTCTATCATCTTTGGCCCTGCCTACAACACCTGGAGCCACAATGGCCTAAGAGGTTGGTTGCTACTTCAAACGGCCCCAGAAAAATGAGAAAAGCAGGTGTTAGAAGGAAGGAGGAAGAATTGCCACCACAAAGATGCATTGTGAGAAAGGCAGCCAGAATGTCACCATGTTCTTAGACCTTGAGTGAGTTTTAATATGGTCCCATAAACCATACAGTACTAAAGGACTTTTCAAAATAGACTAAATGTGGTTTCCTTGAAATGTCAACTTATAGATTCCCAAACATCTACAAACTAAGTATTTTAAACTTCTCACAGACAGAAAAAGAAAAACCAAGTAATTAAAAACAAAAAAGCGGGGCATGGTGTTTGCATGCTTTTAATCCCAGCACTCTGAAGGCAGAGGCAGGTGGATCTCTACCAGTTCAAGGCCATCCTGGTCTGCATAGTTCGAGGCAAGCCAGGGCTATTTAGTGAGACCCTATCTCAAAAACAAACAAGAACAAACAAACAAACAAACAAACAAACAAACAAACAAAAAACCAGAATAACTTATTCAATTAGAGCAAAAATGTTGCCTTTACTTGGAGAAACGGTCATTCTGAACACAAATTCACACCACCCACAGATGCAAACACACACACACACACACACACACACACACACACACACACACACGGAGGGGGGGGCAAGGCAGCGGCTGGGGAGGAAGGGGTTGTATCATTCCCTTTGAAATGGCATCTTTCCTATCCTCCATCTTCACAGGTGGAGGGAATTTGGGGTAGAATGCTCTAGGTTCATTAGTCCCGCTTGGTTTTTTCTGAACTAGGTTGAATTACACGGTGCCAGAAGCCCACTGGGAACTCCTCCTTGCTTGGGTTTCTGGTCAGCACCTGGATCAGCTCAGATTGCCTTGGAGACTGGTCCCTCATACTGAAAAGGCAGCTGACATTGATTGACTCTTATAGTTTGGGTGACTTGTGGTTTCTCTCACCATGTAGATAGATGAGTTTCCCATTTCTGTTTCATTCTGAAGGGATTTAGTGGCACTTACCACAATGAGCCTTGTATAATACCCTTTGTCTGTGAGGATTTGTTTCCCAACACTTTAAGCTTCTTTACACACCCCCAAGTGCCATTTGTGAGCTTTGTTTACTGTGGGATATGCTTTTGTGTCTTTGTTAAGGACTCTGTTGGCAATAGCTTTTGGAATACTCACTCCACTACTCCATAGCTGTGGCTCAGCCCAGCAGCACCTGCTCTGCTGGGCTTCCACCATGACCCTGAGCCCTGAATATTCCTACCTCTAGAGCGTCTCAGACTTTAAATATGTCATTGGGCTGATTATATCCGGTTTATTGGGAACTTTCAGTGAATTTTGTGTATGAAAACATACTTGCTTAAAGCAATATTATGCTTCGTTAACATTGTGATGATACTAATTATTAATGTCCCTCCTCTTTTGCTCTTAGTTCTGTCAGTACTGTGTCACACTCGGATGAGCCCAGCCATCGAGATGAAGCCTCTCGCCTTACAGTTCGCATGGAAAACACCTACCAGTTAGGTGTGCTACCACTATGCTAAACTTCTAATTCGATGATCTGTGCTAATTTAACTGTAGCCTGGCATTATCTTCAGTCCTAGATAAGTGACCTTAATTTGAGAGAGTCTGTGGTCTTGCTTTGAAAATTTGGAGCAAAGCTTATTTCCTCTTTTAAAAAGGAGAATCTAAAACAAAGCAAAACAAAAAAGCATGAATCTCCAGATGCCACAAATATGCACAATATAACATGATTGCACTCAAGTTCACTGGGTATTTCTGGATGAATATGCATGTGTGTGAAAGAGATGTATATTGATCTTTATCCTTCAAAACCCACCAATGTTGTTGATGGTGGGGAGAAAAAATACCTCAGCCCAGAGGCAGATGACTGTGGTCCCCTGTTGACAGAGATGTTTATCTACTGCCATTGAGGTTTAGGGTCTTTGAAAACAAGGATTTTCACACCTGCCTTTATGCTCCCAGGTGGAGTCTGCAGATAAATACCTTTTCCCATTCTCGTTTCTTCACAGACCTACTTGTTTTCTTTAAGTGTATGCCTGCCTATGATTATCTGAATTCATGTATAATTGCTGCCCTGCACAAATTCCATAGAGACTTACCAAGGAGCAAAGAAGGACTCTGTGGGCCATGGTAATTCCACCTGTGGCCGGTTAGCCCCAGGAAAATTATAACCCATCACCCTACCCTGCTAGGCCTTATAGCCAGTTTTCTCCAATAATCCCAATACTATTGGAGTAACAAACATGGCTTCCCATTCCATCCCTCTCATTGGCCACACTCCAGGTTCATTTTTGAGATGCTGTGATGACTTAGATAAAAGGAGGACAACACACTGTAACTTTAGACACATTTGCACAATGTGAATATTATTGTGGTGGTTGACTGACACCCCCACTCCAATTACAGGCTCCAGAATTAGTCTAGTAGCTTTTTACACTGCGTGTGGTGGACAGTAAATGTTCCTACTATCCAGCTTGCTTTAGTAATATACCTAAGTCCAGGTGCTGGCTGGCCCTTAGCCCTTTCAGTCAGCAACCTGAGTTTGGGTCAAGTTTTCTCCAACTTGAAATCAAAGTTTCGATCTTTTTTTTTTTTTTTTTTTTTTTTTTTTTTCGGTTGGGAGTAGGGTGTTTGTTTGTTTTTGCTTTGTTTTTTGAAACAGATTTTCTCTGTGTAGCCCTGGCTGTCCTGGAACTTGTTCTATATACCAAGCTGACCTCGAACTCAGAGATCCACATCTTTGCCTCTTGAGTGTTGGGATTCATGTTGTGGGCCACCACTGCCCGGCTTATCAACCAAAGGTTCTTCATTGGCAAGCTATGACTTTGAGTCAAGTGTGCTAAAGAAAGGTCTGGAATCCCATTGCAACAAGATAAAGCAATTTAAATGCAAATGTCTGAGTTTCTTAGATTTTTTTTTTTTTTTTTTAAGTTTCTTCAAGCAAACAAAAGTTTCAGAAGTGCTGACCGACCTTCCTATAAAGGTGACTGACTGTCATCCTCATCCTCCACTCCTGGCCAGAACTACATCAAGCTGACATAAGAAAATCTTTACCAAAGGCCCATGAGCATCTTTCACAGGCAAAATAAACCCAGGAGCAAGTAGAATTGGAAATACATTTTCATTGTTAGAAGAGCTGACTGGCTGCCTTGAAAAGCAGACTTAATCTAGCACAAAAGACTTTCATCATTGAGTCTGGGAAGAGCTCACCACCACTGCAATCATAAGTTATGGTGTGCTTGTCCTTCCATCAAAATGATTACAGCTACCATAAATAAAGCGAAACATGAATATAGTTCATGAGGGGGAAAAAGAATAGAAAAGGGAAGCGGTGTTTCTTAGATAAAGCACCACTTACCTTGGCTCACTAACCACAGAGAGGAGAGAATAGAAAAAAATAACAGGCTGTGGCATCCCATCTGAGCTTGAACGCTAGCTTCAATGGTACCTAGGAAGGTGATATTTAAGCAAAGCATCCTGGAATCCTGGCTGCTTTGTGTGTAAATAACATGATGGACTGCAGATTGTAGGGATGCTGTGAGAATCAATGAGGTGCTGTATGTGCATCGGTTCCCACTCACTGTAACTGCTGCTAAATGGGACAGGCTAAGACCTTCCCAGGGATCACTAAGCATGAAAGCCTCTTGTTTTATTCAATGTGACTCCCATCAATTATGGACTAAGTTTTGCACCCGGCTTTTTCTGGAGCTCAGGTTAAAATTAGATAGCAATTTTTTTTAAAGATGGTGACTATGAGCATCACATGGACGAAAAGAATGTACGGAAGAAAGTATTTATTTTGGCTCATGGTTTAAAGATCCAGTTCATGATGAGGAAGGCACAGCTGTCAAGGACTGCTTGCTCACATCTGGGCAGGTCAGTTAGAAAAAGAGATAAATACGGGTGCCCTGGTGACTTTTTACTTTCCCCCTTTTTATTAAGTCTGGGATGGTAGCCAGTGGGGTGGTGTTATCCATTCAGATTGAGTCTTCTTTCCTCCTAGAGATGCCTAGAGATGTGTTTACAAACCCAGGAAAGTTGACAAGGAAGAGTACCTACTGTAGTAGCCAACTTTGCCACTGCACAGACAGCAGTAAATGAAGCCAACATGATGGAAAATAGTGATTGGTGAGGGGGGAGGGTGCAAATGAGGGACAGAAGGAGAGAAGAAGGAAACAAGGGAAGGAGGGAGAGGAAAAGAGAGACTCGGGGCTCAGTTTCTGTGAGGCTCTCAAGCTCTGTCTCTGGTGTCAAGTTTTCTTTGCTGGAACCCATTGATCCCTCGGGGTCCTTCCTGTGCAGGGCCATTGAGTGTCCTACTTATATCCTCTGCCATCTTGCAGCCTTCACACCCTGGCAAAGTGTGAAGTCTCCTTCCTTCTGAAGACAACAACCTGAACCACTAGCTAAGGAGTGCTTTATGAGTTGGTACACACTGTTCTAATTATTTAAAGTATATTTCATCTCCTTAAATGCAAGCACAAAATAATGTAAAGGGTTACTCTTTCTTGCTTTTGTTTTGGCCTCAGAGAACTCCAGCTGTCCCCAGATGGACCACATTGCCAAGTACAGCTTGAAGTCCTGATCCTCCAGCCTGCATCTCCCAAGTATGGGATGACAGGCTTGTGCCACCAGGCTAGACTTAGAGTAATTCTTGTTATCCCCGTTGGGGAAACTGTGGTGCACTACTCTCCCTTTAATCTAGATTTTTGTTTGTTTGTTTGTTTTTTGTTTTGTTCTCATTTTTTCAGATCTTTTGAATTCTAAAACGTTTTCCTCCTTAGGGAGGTAAATGTCTCAAAATGAAGAAGAAAGGGTTTGTTGATTGCATTCATTGTCGCTGAAAGTAGCTTTGGGAGCTTGCCTTGCCTGTTTCCATCTCTGAATGTCAGCGGATCAATTGGAACTTGTTGACAGATTCTGGATGTGTAGGGAGAAGACCACTAGAATGGAAAGAATGAGTTTTCATTACTAGAGTGAAAAATAGTTTTAAAGATAGAATCGTGTTTGTGAGCTAAAAGGATATGCAGTGTTCAGAAAGGTACAGCAGGCCCTGGGAGCTACTAGGAACCAGGTTCCAAGCATTCCAGATGCTCTTTCTTTGGGTGATGTGTGCAACTTCCTTCCCTCACTGTTGCCTTCCTTCCAACTTGGAGGAAATGTGGCCTCTGGCAGTTCCTAAGGGTTATGAATCATAGCTTTTGCTGCAAGTAAGAGATTGGTTTGTTTTTACACCTACTTCTACTTTGAAATAAAGTAAGAAAGTTCTGTTTTGGCCAGACCTAGAGCCGAGTCATCCCTGAGCTAATATCACCTGCACTCTGCCCTGGGGCTCATGGGTAGCAGTGATAGAGTCTCCTGTTTCATGACTACAAGAGGGAGAGGATCATTTTAGAAGGGTAGATGCTGCTCTCGTGGGTGGGAGGAGGCAGGGGAGCATTGTACTGACCAATATACTGCAATATCCATTTTCTGAATGCAAAAAGGACAGATAGGTTAATGCAAGGCAGAACGGGTTCCCTGGAAATAATACTGGTCAAGTAAGACCATGTGATATGAGTGATTGTTGGGAGAGATGGGAATGAAAAAGGGTGAGGTATCTCTCTGAATGACATAACTCATTTAATTTAGTTCAGGCTAGTGGCTTTTTTTTTTTTTTTTTTTTTTTTTTTTTTTTACTCAAGTACACAGGTAGAAATCTTTTTAAAGATATTGCATTCATTCTTTGAGAATGTCATCAATCATTGTATTTTGACCCCTAACCTCTTCCCAGATCCCACCCCACCCCAAACCCCAATAACCCATTGGCTTCAATATGCACTGCCCATATACTCCTGTGTGGGGGACCATCTTGTGAAGCATGGTGAAATACCCTTAAAGAAAGCAGACTGTCCCTCCCCCAAGAAGACATCAGCGATCCCTGGCTCCTCAGTTAAAGGCGGGAGCACAATGAAAATCATATACAAAATTCACAGGAAGGGGACACAGACACATGTAAGCACCTAGGAGCTCACCATAGGGGAATTTGTCTTTGATCTCAATCTCTGGCCCCTGGGACCAGGAGTGGAACCAGTCATTCACATGTTGGCAACTGCCTGAGATTTCTGCTGAACAGATGTTTTAGCTGCTAGAGTCATTGTATCATGTTTCCTCTTCCTTTATTCCTTCCCCACCTGATTTCTTTTCTTCTTCTCATTTTTTTTTTTTTTTTTTTGGACAGTCTCTCACAGCCCAGGCTGGCCTCACACTCATTATGTATCCAAGACTGGCCATGAAATCCAGATCCTCCTGCCTCCACCTTCTTGGTGCTTATATGCATGTACCACCATGTGTGGCTTTCCTATCCTGACTTAAATTGAACTAAACAAGTCTTATATCATCAAAGTAAAAATTCTTTTTAATGAGCCTCAGGAGGCTGACCTCACTGGACTACAGCCTCCTGACCTCACTGTAGACCAGTGAGTAAAGCCAACGGAACTCCAGCAGGATGAAAGGGCCCTGAGGCCTGGGGATTTGCCTTCCTGGTACATGCCATGGCTTCATCTCAGGCTAGTGACTCTCTCAGCCAAGGCATATAGCACTCTTAAGGGAGCCATCTCCGTGCAGCCCTGCTTGGATCTAATCTGAGCTCCCTTCTGGTCTGCTCAGGCCTGGGGTGGCTTGCTTCTACTGATGGAAGGGAACAACCCTATTGCTTGTGATTTCCCTTTCTCTTTCAGACATCCCAGAAGGGGACTCCCTTAGCCCCTACCTGACATAGACATTAAAAATAAACACTAATAGATAATATTAACTACTAAAGGAGAACTGGAGAGGATTCCTGACTCACACTCTTCCTCTTTATTAATTTTACAATAACCCATCCCCTACATACCAAGCTATGCCACCTTGTATATGCCATGTAGTTGCGTGGACCAAAAACAGATAACAGAAGGATAATGCAGCTAATTCCAGGAATATCAGGGTAAAACCCACTTATCTGAAGCTTTGATCCAAATATGGATGAAATGTGGTTAAGAACATAAATTTTAAAGCCAGATGAATCTTGAGCATCCATTCCTACTTCTGTTACTGTGTAATTCTGGGCTTCTACCTCTATTTTCCCATCTGTGGGACAGATATAACTGTGAGAGTTCCCTCAAAGATCTACTGAGAGATATCATAAAGTAAATACATGCTTATCACAGTCCCTGACATGTAGAATATGGTCAGAAAAAAAGTAACTACTGTTTGGGCAATGATTATTATTTATAAAATGTTTAAGTCCAACTAAAACCAGAAATCAGACCTAAGCATTGAATTAGTCTCTCAGGGGGATAAAACCCTGTCTTGCTTACATTTCTGTTAAATTCTGGAAGTTTATTATTTTTATTCCCGTGTATAAGTTTGTACACACAAGCATGCACGCATGTTCCATAGCACTCAAGTGGAGGCAGGGAAACATTCTGAACTTGGTTCTTTCCTTCGACCTGGGGGGTCTCAGGGATGAAACTCCAATCACCGATCTTGTCAGCAAGCACCAGTACCTTCTAAGCCCTCTCTCTGGCCCCAGCCTTGCTTCTATGCCACTGTAGAGAGTTGCATGGAGACCTTACCTGTTTTCCAGTGGATTAGGATCCAGGAGACCCATGTGTCTGGAGTAAGTGAGAGGTGTTTTGTACCTCGGGTGAGACACGAGGGGAAACAGAACCCGGAAAGTACATTTGAGCCAGAATTGAAACTTGAGTAGACATTTTTAACTGAACAGATGGGGAATGAGGCTCTGTGTCAAAGAGTGGACAAGGCTAAAGACACATAAGCATCTTTACATGCCAGACGGAGCACAAGAGACTGAAGCAGCATGCACTCGGCAAGCTATGGCGGCTGGAACAAGGCCACGGGACCGATAGACACACAGCTATAGATCCATAAAGAAAATGCCGTTTTAAGATCTGGGTTTTTCCAAGCAAGTTTCTCTGGCTGCAGTATGACAGCCCAAGCGGGCGTGAGAGGGGTGTAAACACTGAGGAGCAGGCCCCAGCACTGGCACCTGATGAGGAAGGAGCTTGTGGTGCGAACCTCAGCAGAACTCACTGCATATTCCTTAGGCCGTCTGGGAAATTCAGAGCTTACTATCCCTTGTTCTCTCAGAAAAGCCTGGCACGAATTCAGACTTCTATCTTTCTTAGCTGGAGTTCACCCAGACTACTAATGGGCTTCATGTTTCAGTGTTCTTTTTATGAACCTACAAGGTAGGTGGATGTGGTTAGAAATAACTGACTTCTAAAGAAATTCCATGTGTATTTCCAGAACCCACTAAACATTTTCCCGTGGCCACTGTCGACCGTATTTTGAAAGATGTACTAACTGCCTATCTACAAGAAGCTGAATATGACCCGGAGTTCTGCAGACAGATGACTAAAACAATTTCTGAGGTACAGTACTATTTGCTCAGCATCAACTATAACCACAATGTTTGCTGAATGACAGCCCACTTCCTTCCTTGTGATGAAGGGATTAATTTTTGACATCAGTTAAATGGTAATGTTTTATGAAAATAGGTATTAGATCATCTACTGCATATGTGTATAGGTACATGTGTAGATGAGCTTTTGTCTAAAAACATCACTATGTAATTTGTAACAAATTTATTGCTTTACAAAACTGTTCACTTCTTTTTTTTAAAAAAAAAGGAGATTTATATTTTTATTTATTTGTGCGTGTGGGCACGTGTATGTGACATGTGCAAAGGCTGGAGGAGGCTAGACGAGGGCCTCAGATCTCCTAGAGTTGAAGTTAACAAGCAGTTATGACCTGCCTGATCTGAGTGCTGGGAACCAAACTGCAAGAGCAGAAAGCGCTCTTTACTGCTGAGACATCTCCCCAGCTCCATGCCATTTAAAATAATCTTCCTGTATATTTGTATAATGTGTGTGTGTGTGTGTGTGTGTGTGTGTGTGTGTGTGTGTGTGCATGTTTGTGTCTATGACGTTAGGCATGGGCATGCCACTGCATATGTAGAGGGCAGAGGATATCCTTGGGTGTTAGTCTTCACTGTTCACCTTGTTTGAGAAAGGGTCTCTGTTTTTCACCACAGCAGAAGCCAAGTTAGCTGGGATAGGCCTGCCTCCCCATAGGTATGCTGTAATCATAAATGCCCACTATCATACCTGAATTTTACTTGGGTCTTGGGAAACTTGAACCTAGGTCTTTTTACTTGTACAAGTGCTTTACCATGAACCATTACCTCAACCAAAAACTGTTTCATTGGAAAAATACACATTTCAATGACTGTTTTCTCCCTGCACAGTGACTTCTTTGAGTGTTATCAGTTATACGTATCGTGGTCTTTAAATACATTTAAATACATTTCTATTTTTCTAAACTACAGTGCATTTTACAATAGTTTCTCCTGCTCCGGTTTTTATAACAAACTCTGGGATAAATATTCAGTTCTATTATGTTGCAGGAGATTTCAGAATATATTCCCCTCATTAGATATGAAAACACAAAATAGCCCTGGTTGCAGCATTCTTTAAAGGGTGGCCATCTTTTAATATAGATTTTCATAAGGTATAATAGTCCCTTCAGTTCTGTTCTGCAGTTGACTGTATCTTAGAAATATCCACTTATTGCTAATGTTGTCATTTTGTTCCTGGATGCCTGTCTTGAAAGAAGGTTTACCTATGATATCAATAATGCTATTTTCCTTTTTAAAATTCTTAAGTATTTTTTGAAGTTAGCCTACGCAGGGATGAGCTTCATTTCCGCTATTTCACACACGCGTCAATATGCTCCCCTCTCCCATTGTGTTCCCACCCTCCCTGCCTTCCTCCTCTTGGTCCCCTCCATTCTTCCCAAATTACCCTTTCAGGTTTAACAATTTTGAGATTTAATGTGACTAAAAAACTTCCCCTCCCTTGTTTATTTTGTTTGTCTGTTTTGTTTTTGTTTTACAATTTCTAGGTTATTAAAGCTCAGGTCAAAGAACTAATGATTCCCCGGTATAAACTAATTGTGACCGTTTACATCGGACAACGAGATTGTCAGAGCATACTTATTGGCAGCAGATGCCTCTGGAATCCTAAAAGTGATACCGTTTCGTCCTATGCTTTCAGAAATGCTTCTCTCTTTGCACTTGCAAATGTCTATGCAGTTTACTTCGAGTGACTGAAAATGAGAAGTTACAGTCTTGGCATTTTAAAATCATGAAACAGGCTGTGTCTCTCTGTCCACTAACATTCTGCTGTCAAAAACCTGTGAGAAAAAAAACAAGATGAACAACTGGAAGTTTCCATCATCCTTGTGAGGACTGGTGGAGGGGAGGGGAACCCAAGACAGAACCTTGTTTCTCCAAAACAGAAGTCAAGTGTGGTTCACATAAACATGGGTGCTGCCTAAATATTACTTTGGGTATTAATTGCTTTGATTTCTCTTTTAGTTGGAGAGCTAGAATTCCCTGAACTTATTTTTTGATAAGGTTCTAGAAATATATGGTAACATATTCTGATATATATCATATAGGACAGGGTAATTCAACATGGCACATCAAAATGATGAATGTTAATATACTTCAGTACTGCATATACAATAATACTGGTTATCATTTTACATTTAATAAATTGAGCAGCATTTATTAACTGCAATTACTGTTACATGTACTTGACAGCTGAAAGTGCCGAGATAGAATTAATGATTTCATAATAATTACCATAGACCCATGGGGCCACAAACTAAATCTAGACGCTTCTGTGGGTTGTCTGCACTTTGCAAAATTACAGGAGAACTGAACATTGACTCTTCAATAATGGAAACTATAAAGTGAATGCAGGCTTTTAAGCACACTAAAGTAGACATTATGTTATTAAATATACATGATGCTTAATAGTAAATGTGTCTATAGCACCTAAGACCATGTATTGGAAAGAGACACTACCTTTAAGTACACACTGCCCATGTGACTTTTGCTGGCCTATTACCCAGAATTCTGAATCTGGCAGCTTAACAAATAAAACGTGTGCTTCCCATTTTGTTCCTATGAATTTAGCACTAAAGTGACCCAGTGAGGTTCCTGAATGTATGGGCATTGAAGTTTACAGGGCTAAGATAGCTCTTCTGCTGGCTAATGCCTCTTGTAGCATGGGTCGTTTATTTTTATGGAGCTTTCAAGTCTTTGTGTGCATGTAAAATGACACTGTGGCATTGCTCTAGGATGGTAAGTCATCTGCCTAGAGGACATTTGTTAAAGGTCAAACACAAATTGCTCACATATGGAGAGAATTAGCAGTGTTACACTCTTAAGGGGAAAATTATGTATAATTCGTATCAGGAAGATCTTTAGCGAATGGAAAACGAAGTCAATGCTTCTTGATTTGAAAATGTTTTGATGTCTTACTTTTCCCTAAAACCAAATGTAGTTTTAAAACGCATTCCTAGGTTTTTTTCCGATAGTGCTTTAGGGGGCCTATGTAGAATATCGACCCCCAGGACTTGCCTGTCTGCAAACACCAGTCTGGAATCTGGATTTGATTATCAGAAGAAGCAGTGAGTGTCACTGTATGCTTTTGTCAACAGATGAAGGCTGTGAAATCACATAGCAGCTTGGTACGAATGAGTCAAATGAAGAAATAGCTTCGCCATATAGAGATGATTTTCTTCTAGGGTTCTAATTTCCAATCAGTAGAATAACTTCTCATCATCCATCCCAGGTTGTGTTGGCAACTAACACCTTAAAATACAAAGGCTGTTTTTTTTTTTTTTTTTTTAAAAAAAAAAAAAAAAAGCAATGGAAAGGCAGTCTGCAGGCCTATTGCTATGTGCAATACCAGTTCAGCGATGACCTCTAGCAGCACAGAAATATGAAATACAGGGTAAGGACTCATTCAGAAAAACAGATTTTTTCAGGAGAGCGTCAGTCAACACACAAAGCCTTGAGATGGGACATTTTCAAAGAAACACTACGAAAGTTTGAAGAAGTCGCTTTATTTTGCAATAGCAGAGCTTCCCCTCCCTGAATGTCAGCCTTCCTCATTCCACTATCTGCTGCCTTCTTTCCTGCAAGTCTCACCTTCCCCTCAGGTCCTTCTCTGTCCTCCATCCTCCCACTCCCCTGCTCCAATGGCTCTCAGTTAATCTCTCCACTATTATCCAGCTTTTATGTTTGTTTGTTTTTTTTCCTCCCCTTACCTGCATAGACCACCTAGCAAGGAAATCTAATTATTATAAGCAAGACTCTTGTGCACTATGCTTGCTGTACCAAACTGCCACTGTCCTGTCCAGAAAATACCAATACACCTCTCAGCCCTCGAGGACTAGCATCCAATCGAAATGACATCAGGACACATCTGTAACCCCAGAACTCCAGAAGTGGGCACAGGTAGATTACCAAGTGATTACAACACAGGTTAAAACACATTATCACAAGAAAATTCCAGAACATCTTTATCCAATGAAGGAACTTGTGGAAGGCTTTGTGAAAGGAAACAACAACTTCCTCCAGACCGTGATGGAGACAAGGAGAATTTCAAAAGATGGAAGGCTAGAGGAAGACATTTGCAAGGGATAAGAGGTCACACAATGATTGAAGGGGGCATGGTAACTATCTGGTAAGGAAGTGCACTCAGACCATAGCTTTTCTCTAAGTGAATAGCATTAAGTGAAGCTACTCTAAGAAGCTATGTCATATGGGGGACATTGCAGGAACAAGGTCTACATGATTAGGCAAAAGGAGGTTAAAGCAACGCACAGAATGGTTCAAGTCCTGGGTACCTGGATGATTCAGGTCTGAGCCCCTGTTGTCCCAGGCACCTTACAAACATTACCGGTTTTACAAAGCAGCAGGGTTGCCTTGATGTGGTAATGATAATCCTGTGCCATGGCACAGGGTTTTGTAGTGTTAACTGCGTGCTTGATGTCTAAGAGAAGTGCTTGTGGTCCTGGTGGCAGCCCAAAGTCTGAGCACCTGGGGCAAAATGCATGATCCCGCGCGAAGGACGGTGACATCAGCGGAAAGAGCCCGAGAAGTAAAACACGGACTTTGAGTCTGCACCCTAGATTAAGTTGATCATGGGACATTTTGGCCACAGGCAGCTGAAAACTGAGCCGTAGCATCAAGGGAAGAAATTTAGCATTGGCAGCTATCCAAAATGAGATCTCACTTCTCCCTGCTGCCGTATAAAATATCCATCAGCCAGCAAGTCTGTCTAATCAGTGCTAAGCAGCCAATAACTGGCTCTAGGAACCCAGCCAGAAGCCACCTTTCCAAACCAACAGGGCTCTATCGGTTATGCGCTGCCTTTTTTCTTTTATTTTCTTCATTAAGACAGTTTCCTAAATTATCCCTTTCTGTTGTCAGACATGAGAAATGTGAAGTTTCTCTCAAAAAAAATAAAAAATAAAAACTGAGCTAGCACCTCAGTGTGTGTTGTTAATTGGGTGACTTCAGAAAGCACATAGTAGGAGGTCAGGGTGCAACAGATGGTGAGTTCAGAAATGAAACACTAAATGAAAAAGTTTCATTTTTACTAAAACTGAATTCATCTTTTAAGAGTGGAGAATTAGTGTATGGAAGTGATTTTTTTGAAATGTCAACAAATCAGACACATAACTTAACAGCCTTAAAGAATGATCGTTTTCCTTCTTGGGAGCATCATCTGACCTGTCTTTTCTGAACGCTGAAAAAAAAAATGAAAAAGAAAACTCAGCGTCAAACAGTTTTCTTCCCTAGTCTCTCTGATGCTCTCACAGTCAGCAATCTGGTTCTCACCCAACAGTCTGGGGCTTTCAGACCATGACACCTGCAAGGCGTCTAGCATCTCAACCCATTTAAAGGCCTTTCTTCTGAGGGGCCTTGCAATTTAGGGGAAAGGACGGTACTATAGTCTCTCTCTCTCTCTCTCTCTCTCTCTCTCTCTCTCTCTCTCTCTCTCTCTTCCTTTCTCTGCATAGGTTTGAAGACAAACTTCTTCTATGACTTCTAAACCTTAACAGTTATGTGAGTGTAGCAAGCACCTAACACCTTCAGCCAGTTTCCTGAAAAGTCAATTAGACTGTGATTGTGTTCTCATGAAGACTGGACAGACAGTGTACATAAAATAGCCAACCCAGAACTGAAGAGATAGTTTAGTGGTTAAGAGCACTACAGATGATTGAGTGTTATCCCCAACACCCCCATGGTGTTGTCTACAACCACAGTTCTCAGAGATCCAGCACCCTCTTCTGGCATCCTTGGACACCGGGTACCCATGGTGCACAGACACATACAGGCAAAACACCAATCCACAGAAAACATCTTCTTAGTGTTTGAAAAATAAAAATAAAAAAGATAGTTGAGACAAGCAGGGAGTTTTAAGGCACAACTGTAATCCCAACATTTAGGACGTAGAAGGACTGGGAGTTCAAGGTCAGTCTCAGCCATAACAGATTAGGAAGTCAGCCTTAGCCACCGGAGACCCTGCCTCAAATAGTAGTAGCAGTAGTAGTAGTAATATAGTAATAACAATAACAATAAAGCAAATAAAAAAGCTACCTTATTGAAGAAATTTCCTTTCAACCTTTAATGTTCACAGTATGTATCTGCTAAAGCAGATCTTGGTGTGCTGGAGCAAGTCGCTAATCCCAGTATTCTAAGAGCTGAGGCTGGGGAATCTGTAGTTCCAGGCTACTTTTAGCTGCATAATTAGACTCTGTCTCAAAACAGCAAGGGCTAGGGACATAGCTCAGCCTCTGTAGAGCACTTGTTTACAGACCCAAGGCCCTGAGTTTAATACTTAGCACTGTAAAAAGGAACAAGAAAGAAAGGCGAAATTGAACATTTTTCCAATTACTCTTCATCACTGTAATATACCTGTGGTTATTTTTTTTTCCCCCAAATTTTCAAACTACCATCTTTGAATGACAGTTTTCTTTCAAATCCATGATCTTCCTGGTATTACCTGGTCCCAGCTTCTGCCTGTATTGCTAATCTCTCTTTGTGCCATGCAGAGGGCTAGAGCTTGTGTCAGGACCTTTCCTGGTTCTAGGCAGTGATGTTGCTTAGCCCTGCCCACTGCTTGTTTCCTTCAAACCCATTTGGATTCGTGAGTTCGTTTACAAGTGGGCACAAACCTACAGAGTGAACTGAGACCCAAGTATACTGAAATTCTCTCTGGAGTCTGTAGTAGCTCTTCGCTTCTTTCCTCAGCAGCTCAACTGTGCTATACATTTTTTCTTTTAAATACAGGCTCTAACTTGACCTGTGATTCTCCTTCTACCATCTACCACCAACCCATTT